CATACCAGAAATAAGCACAGAGCCAAATACACTAATGATTGTTCTTCAAGTAAAGTAGACACGTAAAACGAAGACATGCCAGATCAATATTTAGTAATACAAAAGACGATATCATGTATACAACCATTGTAAATATTCAACCAAATAGAATTCTAGTAGCTAAAACATAAGATTCGAATGAGTTAACATTCCTAACAGCATCAACTAAGTAATTTTCACTTAATTAATTATAGAGAAAAGGAACTCCGCCTGTAGCTCTTCTAGAAATATTGCCGGTCCCAAGACCGAGTAAAGGAGGACGGTTGGGAATGGCGTTAGCGACACCATCCCGTAGAAAACTAACTCGCTAAAAAGTGCTTACCAGAAAAAATAATTCAAACCATTTTAACTCTGCCCTGGGAGTTAGAAGATCGTCATTTACAAGAACTATCACGCCTCATGATGAAAGCCGACTTCCTTCGAAAGCCACCAAGCCGATATCTTTTCTAACAACTGACGATGTGGGAGACCGGGAAGATCAGTCAAATAGCAACGGAAATGAGGAGATACAATCGGCAGTACTGGGAATCAGCGAAACCCATTGGACCCTAGCTGGACAACAAAGGCTAAATACGGGAGAGATGCTATTATACTCGGGTCACGAAGAGGAACATACTCCACACACTCAGGGAGTTGCTCTAATGCTGTCCAAACTGGCACGAAATGCACTTGTAGGATGAGAACCTCACTGGTCCAGACTCATCAAAGCATCATTCAAATCAAAGAAGAAGGGAATTACAATGAATGTTATCCAGTGTTATGCACCCACCAATGACAACAACGATGACATTAATGATCAGTTCTACGATAGGTTGCGATCAATCATAGCGAAGTGGCCAAGAAAATACTTCACCATTCTGATGGGAGATCTAAACGCCAAAGTCGGAATAGACAACACCGGATATGAAGATATCATGAGACGACATGAACTGGGAGAGAGAAACGAAATTGGGGGAAGATTTGCAAATTTATGTGTATCAACAAATTAGTCATAGGCAGAACAATACTCCCACACAGACGTATACATAAAGCTACATGGATCTCACCGGACCACACTACAGAGAACCAGATAGATCATCTTTGTAACCATAAATAATTCCGAAGAACAATGGAAGATGTGAGAACCAGGAGAGGAGCTGACATAGCTTCAACTTACTGACCACCTTGTTGTGGCCAATTTAAAACTGAAGCTAAAGAAGAACTGGACAAACAGCACTACAGAGCTTCGAGAGACTGACAAACTCAATGAATTCATGGTAGCTCTCAACAACAGGTTCCAAGCCTTACAGGATCTACTGAAGGAAGAAGAAACTAATATGGAGTACAACTGGAAAGGTATCACAAAGCATTAACTTCAACGTGTCAAGAGGTTCTGAGCCTCAACAAGCATCATCATAAGGAATAGATCTCTATAGAAACTCTGGACAAGATCAACGAAAGGAAGAATAAGAAGACAGCAATTAACAACAGCCAAACACGAGCAGAGAAATTCCAAACACAAGCTGGGTACACAGAAGCAGTCAAGCAAGTGAAGAAGAGCATTAGAGCCGACAAGCAGAAATAGGTGGAAGAACTAGCAATGACGATGGAAAAAGCTGCAAGAGAAGGAAATATGAAACAGCTGTATGATAGAACGAAGAAACTAGCAGGGAGATATAGTGAACCAGAGAGACCGGTCAAAGACAAAGAAGGCAGGCCAATCGCTGAAATTCAACAACAGTGGAACAGATGGGTATAGTACTTCGAGGAACTCTTGAATAGGCAGTCTCCAATCAATCCACCGGACATCGAAACAGCACACACAGATCTCCCTATAGATGTCAATCCACCAACGACCAAAGCAATCAGAATGGCCATCAGACAAATCAAGAACGGGAAAACAGCGGGACACGACAACATACCAGCTGAAGCACTGAAGTCAGACATCGAAGTAACTACAAACACGCTTCACCTTCTATTCAAAAAGATTTGGGAGGAGGAACAAGTGCCGATGAACTGGAAAGAAGGACATCTCATCAAGATTCCAAAGAAAGGAGATCTGAGCAAATGTGAAAACTACAGAGACATCACACTACTGTGAGTACCAGGAAATGTCTTTAACAGAGTGTTGCTGGACCGGATTAAAGACGCAGTAGACGCCCAACTTCGAGATCAACAAGCCGGATTTCGTAGGAATCGGTCGTGCAGACCAAACTGCAACAATACGGATCATCGTCGAACAAACAGTTGAGTGGAACTCGACACTGTACATCAACTTCATTGATTATGAAAAGGCACTTGACAATGTAGATAGGAGTACATTACGGAAGCTTCGTCGACACTACGGAGTTCCTAAGAAAATTGTCAACATTATCCGGAACTCATACGACGGAATACAGTGCAAAGTCGTGAATGGAGGACAGTTGACAGATGCACTTTAAGTAAGGACCGGAGTCAGACAAAGGTATCTACTCTCCCCCTTCCTCTCTCTTCTGGTGGTCGATTGGATTATAAAGACGTTGATATCTGAGGGATTGGGAAAGCAAGGACAGCATCCATACAATTGAAGAGCAACCAATAGCAAAGTCACAATCTTCAATACCAACGTCAACACAGTTTTACTGCACGGAGCTGAGAATCGGGGAACCACTACAACCACCATCAAGAAGGTAGAAGAATTTATAAATAGCTGTCTACACAGGATACTCAATGTCTGTTGTTGGACGGATACCATCAGCAACAGCCTTCTGTGGGAGAGAACAAACAAGATTCCAGCTGAAGAGGTAGTTAGGAAAAGACAATGGAGTTGGTGGATAGGACATACATTAAGCAAATCATCAAACTGCATCACGAGGCAAGTCGCAACTTGGAATCCTGAAGGGAATCGGAAGAGGGAGGTCAAAGAACAGATATGAAAAGGGTGAATAACAACTGTAAAGAGCTGGAAAGGATTGCCCAGGAGAGGTTTGGATGGCGAGTGCTGGTTGGAGGCCTATGCTCCTCCACGAGGGGCAACAGGCGTAAGAGAAAGTGACTATTCGAATTTGTCAGTAGATTGCTTTTATCAATAATAATTTGACTATAATGCATCTACAGTGTTGAGAACAATTAATTTTCTAGTACGAAGTTAAAAAACAAACTTCATAGACATTTGATAGAAAATTTTAAAGGAACTATGAATAAACTAATCCCATTTTTACAATGTACCTGGATGGATTTTTAATGCATGAATGAAATACTTTCAAGTATAATTTTCTCACATGATTCCTTCATACCCCTACAGAATATGTTATGAGAATCCGAGAAGTTAATCATTATGTTCTCAACGAAATCTCCAAACTACACAAGGTATACTACAAATATGAGCTAATCAGAGTCGGTAAATTCCCCACTAGTGCAGAGAAATAATCAATATATAAGCGATAAACACAATAATACAGCAATGAGAAAAGAGCTAGGAAAAAATGTAAAATAATATGTTTGAAACAAGGAGAATAAATCTGGGTGATTTGTTCTGGTTTCTGGCCAAATTACCCAGTCTTCAGCCAGCGATTCGAATTGTTTTTGAGCCTCAATCAAGAATACTACATCTTTCTACATAGTTTAGGACAACAATCACTGAGCTGAGGGGTTGGTGTTATCAGTCTGAACACTAATACACTTCATCTATCGCTTATCTATGTAATAGGCAGTGAACTGGGATATATAATACCTAATTCGATGAAGGTTTACCACTCCAACAGACTCATCTCCTTTGTTTGATGTGAAAAGTCTGACACGAGTATTGTTTGACTAGCATTCGTCCTATGTTCTACCTTTAATCAACATCTTTAACTAATAAAACAATATCATTTGTACACCTAATTACAGTAGAGAATTTTTGGATAAGCATCGAATAGTGAGTCAGGCAGAGCGTATATCCATAACAGAATTAGATAAATATCCAGAGTTGAAAAACATGGCGACTTATATTTCCAATGATCACTAGAGAAGTAGCGCACTACATGTTTTAAGACAAGTAAACGAAAGAAATTAAGGTTTTATAATGCAATTGTTAAGCACCCTTTAAAGTTAACTATACAGTAGAATTCGACTGGAATTAAGTAATGGTATATATTTCTCAACGGGCTTAAGATCCGGTCTAAAAACGTCGGTAAGGTCTAGGAGCTATTTATAAATCTTCAATTAACTACATGAATAAATCAGTTTTAATGTTTATAAACCTAAAGAAGTAAATACCTTCAATAAACACCTTACCAATAAGAAAACAGTAAATAGTATGTAGAAGTACTTTATTGTATAATAGAAGGGATATACATGCGTGCACTACAGCAAAATACATGGCAGTTTGTTTTAAAAAATCCTGTATTGAATCAGTTTAAACAATAATGATTTTTTCTACTTCAAACTTATATGAATATATGAAAAAGTACAAAAGAAACAAAGTTTACTATTGTTACAAATTGTAAAATATAACAAAGAACGATGAAGATCAAGATATGAGCGCAGACCTAACTCTACAAATACAATGAGTAAATAAATTATATGCCTTAGATATTGGTCTTTTGTTTATTTTCGTCACACAAATCCAAGTATGAACCGAAATTCTAAAAGACAATTCACTACAATACATTACAACTACTACTTTATTTGGTTAATTATGAGGTTTCTATAATACACTGGAACCAGTAGAGAAAAAAAAACAACAGCTGAAAAGAACGTTATTATGTTATTCACTGTGTTTTGTTAAAAAAGAACAAGTGACCTTGTGTTGGTTAAACAAGTAAACAAACAAGAAAAAGAAAAGACAACTACACGAAACTAAATCATCACAGTGAAAACCATAAGATATGGATAATAATATGGAATAAACAATACAGAAAAAGGGGAAAAATGAAAATGATAGGTTGTAAGTTGAATCATATCTATAGATTTGTTTAAAAAGTTTTATAGACACAAACAAACACGAGCACAGATGCATTTCAAGTTCTTGTTGTTTGATCAGAAACAAAATTAACACCAACTAGTTGAGCCATTCCACGATTACCGACTATTTTTATCGCAGGGTTGAATACCTGTTATGCGAAAAAGAGTTGAGAATTATATAAACGTGAAGAATATAGGTTCGATATACAGTTAATAAGCGCCGAAGATGGCCTACATTACCATACGCCGCTTTGGCTTTCATTATAAGTGGATTGATCTCATCACTCACGTTACCACCAGCACTTATGCAGCTACCCAGATACACGAACTTCTCGACTACTTCTATCTGCACACCATTCAGCGTGAGTACAGGATTAGGATCCTGCAAGTCTTGTAGAAGTACTTTGCACTTCGAAGGTGCAAAGCACATACCACACCTACGGACACTGATTGCCAACTGATTAAGTGCGTATTGCATGCCTTGAGCATTGTCGAACAGTAAGACAATATCATCCGCATACTCAAGGTCGAGAAGTCGTTCTCCAGGCAACAGATCCACACCGCCATTACTTACATCCATCAGAGCTGTTTCCAGAATGTCATTGATAGCAAATTTGAAAAGGAATGATGAGATTAGGCAACCCTGCCTAACCCCACTGCTCGAATGGAACAATGAAGTGAGGTGTTGTATGCCCTCACTCGGCATGAGGTGTCTGTATATAAGGCCTTTAGGATGTTAATAAACATATTCAATAAACAATCCCAGAGAACAGTCCGGTCCAACGAATCGAAGGCAGCCCTAATGTCAAGAAACACTACGATTGTTGGTCTGTGATAAATATGACGGTGTTCTAACATTTGGCGGAGGGTGAAGATATGATCAATACATCCTCAACCACAACGAAAACCAGCCTGCTCCTCGCGAGTCAATCTTTCTCGGGTCTTGAACAACGTACGAAGTATGACAGAGGTCAATAGCTTGCACGCAATCAGAAATAGACTTATCACCCAATAGGTGTTACAGAAATAACGTGAACCCTTTTTAAAGATAGGGACAACTATCGACTCATTCCATGACGTTGGTACACTCTCTAGCCCCCAGACCTTTGTAAACAACACAGTCAGTTCCTTAACCAAGACGTCACCACCATCTTTAAAAATAGCTGGAGGTAAGTCATTTGGGTGCGGTGATTCGTAGAGCTTCAAGAGTCGGAATTCCTTGCGGACTGCCGCCTTATTTGGTCGATCAGTCATCACCGGCAGTGGGGGACAAGACAGTCTGACCGATGTTGCCGGAGCAGCAGACCAGTTGAACTACCTTTCGAAGAACTCTGCCCATCGTCCAGGACGTCGATGGATGTTAATGACTGGCAACCCATCAGCTTAACAGATTGTTTCGCTCACACCAGACTTCTTGCTGCCAGTGGCTCGGATGAGTTGAAAGAGCTCCCAGTAGTTACCAAATGCAGCTGCTGCTTCCAGCTCATAAGAACGCTTCGACCACCAGGTTTCTCGGTCCTTACGCAAGCTTTGCCCAATGTCCTTACGTAACATCCCTCGTTTATGGTCAAACTCACGGTCACCCGGAGTAGATCGAGGGGCTTCAATGAGTTGTAAGGAACCAGAAGAAACCCAGTGCTTATAAGTGGGACGTTTCGCAAACCCACAACTGACTTTTCCCGCCATTTTCATGGCGGCATGCAGTTACAACCAATGCTCATCTATACTTTCCGGTGGAATGGTAGCTAGCCTAGAAGCTAGCTCGGTTCGATACTTACAACAAAAGTTGCAACCAGCTTGCTGACATCAATCCTTTGGTGGCGGTCACTTTGTTGGCCACTGAAAAGTAAGGCAAGATTGGCCCAGACCAAGGCATGATCAGAGTCCAGATAGGTACTCCAAAAGGAGCGGCAGTCTTGTACACAACCACGCCAGCAGCTTGAGATGAAGAGGGAGGACGCCAGGTGGCACATCGGCGATGACTGTGCCGAAAGTTAGTGCTAGCCAGAAACAGGTTGTGGTCTGTACACAGTTGCAGTAGAAAGTCCCCGTTATCTGTCCTGCGACCAACAAGTCCCCATCGGCCACCTAAACGACTCTTTTCTGTGCCTAGACGCCCGACCTGCGCATTCAAGTCTCCGGCTAGTACTACAATATCTGTCGAAAGCACTTTCTGGAGAAGGACAGATAACTGGTGGTAAAACTCATCCTTGATTGCATCCGGGCTGCAATCTGTCGGAGCATAGGCGGAGATGACGAAAAGACATCGTTTCGCACGCCGATTTCTTCTCACTTTGATGGAACTTTCTAATCTAGCAGCACATAACCGACTGTGAGTGGGAATCCAGTCGATTAGTGCTGACTCAGCTCTACCGCTTAGTGCGACACCAACGCCAGCAAGACCAGACGAAGATGCCACAGAGTCCCCGGATAAACGCACGTAAAACAAGCTTTTCGAAGCAACAGATCGAGAGCGAATTTGTAGTAATTCACCGGAGTCCTCAATACGGGTCTCGGATAGACAACGAACGTCGATATTAAGGCTTTCCAAAGACATAGCCAACCCATCTGTTGTTTGACCTGCATAAGTGTGCGAACGTTGAAGGCAGCCAGATTGAATGGCGTACGTAGTTTCAGAAAGACTGTTTCAGTAATCGTACTCAGTGGAAGCATACAACTTCCAACCAGGCAGTGATTCGAGATCGTTTACATAGAACAGGGTTCCCATCATAGGCGAGCCGCTGTATAAGTTAAAAAATAAGGATACACAAAGTGAGGAAGGAAGCGAATAGATAAGTGACGCAGTACATGAAAAAATAAAAATGAACGTGAATTGTTTGAATTTTAATTGAAGAGAGAATAGTATGACCAGTATTAATTGTCATTTCATCTTATTTGTGCGTGGGCTGCCTGTTGGTTATGTAGTGGTTGGCGTTATGTATGGTTCTACCCACCTAAGAAGAACAAATGTCAGATGTGCAACAAACATGGACATAAAGAAGGTCATTGTCCACCGAATCATATGTCCCAACCCAAGAAGAAATATAAACGTCGTCGACACACAATGAATCCAGCCATATCTAAAATCCCTTTCTCCGGTAGCAGCTTTCCAAACAGACTGTGACATTCGGAGGAAGTATGTGTGCCGATTTCTCAACAGGTTTAAACTCTGCACTAGTTGTATACCAGTATCCATTAACAGGCCCTGGAGATCCGTTTGCTAACCTTAATGGTGAAACATGTTTCGTGAAGATGGGGTGACTATCTGAAAGTGGAAATAGATGATTATTGCAGAAAGCTCCTGAATATCAACACTCATCGAGGGTTATTTCAATATATTCGCCTACCGTTTGGCATCACGATTGCACCTACCATCTTTCAGCAAATGGTAGATAAGATGTTAACAAGTATATCTGTGACAGAATCTTATCTAGATGATATCATAGTTATGGGTTCAACTGACAGTGACATTTTTGGTCGAGTACATCAAGTACTTAAGCGAGTGATGGAGTATGGTTTCCAACTTCGTGAAGAAAAGTGTAACTTCTTCATTCACTCGGTCAAATACTTTGATTTCATCTTAGATAAGGACGGTCATCGACCAGACCCTGCCAACCTAGAAGCCATTCAGAAGATACCTGCATCAACTAATGTTCTTTCATTAAGATCATTCTTGGGATTAATTAGTCATTACAGCACATTTCTGTCTGACATGCATCGAGAGGTCACCTGAATGAATTATCATCAAAAGGCAAACCTTGGCAGTGGTCAATAAAATGTAAAGCATCTTTCAACAAGGTCAAATCAGAGCTCAGCTAAAAGCTACTTCTAACACACCTCGATCCTAGCTTTGGAGTTATCTTTACATCTGACGCCTCTGGTCATGGAGTTGGAGCAGTGATATCTCACGTGTTTCCGAACAAATCAGAAAAGAAAACTGCTCATGCTGCTAGCACGACCGTTGCTGTTACCTTGACGTGGTGGTCGGGCTTGCCTATCGTGATGAACCAATCGAGGTTTTACTATGCCAGACAGGTCTGTTGAAGAGCGGTAAGACTAAAAGCAGAAACCCCAAAGCCCATGGGTGTGACGGCAGTAAGGTGTTTCCCTCAGACAACCAGCAAAACAGCTTCCCCACAAAGAAGGGTGGAGTTGGAAAGGGTCGACCCTAAAAAAGCACACCTCGCCATATCCCACTGACTTCTGTCTCCTGCAGCGAGGTAACACGAAGATTACTCAAAAACGGTCGTGTGTGACCGACCTCAAGCACTTGTCCCTTGGATACTGCGGTCACGCTCTCAGGTCACTAAGACCACCTTTAATCCAATTTCCTTTTCAGGTACCTCCAGAAAAATCCTTCCACGGTGTGGGTAACCGGGAAGTGATAACTGCCCTCATACCTTTAACAGCACTCAAGATCACTACTGTATTCATAATCAATCTCCCTCTTCAATTCCTATTATTCCTACTACCTCGACTTTCAACTCTAAACTTCCTCCTCAAGTGTCACCATGATCAACGATCCTAGTGCGTAAAATACTATCCTAGGTCAACTGAAACTTCGCTCTAAACTATGCATTGAAGTCTTCAACGCACGCACCCTGTGTCAAGTCGGCCAGCAGGCCTCCTGACTAAAACCCTAGAATCTCGTATCATTGATGTGTGCGGTGTCTCCCAAACACACATACAGGATCCTAGTGTGGTCATTCACTTAACCTCACCTCGGCAAAACGGAGAGCCGACGAGATACGCTCTCCGTGTATTTGACGACCCGATGGCTAGTTCTCGTGGACTGGCAGGTGCAGGCATAGCACTAAGTACAAGCTCAGAACAAACACCATTAGAATAGATCCTCGTTAACAGTCGTCTATATGCTGTTCGGCTAAACGGCTCCGTTAGAACTAGAAAAGAGGGGCACACGTCGTTACCTTTTCGTCGTTTCTGCCTACACTTCCACTGACTGCAGCCCGGATCAAGTGAAAGATGACTTTTACAGAAAGCTTTCTAAACTTCTTCAAAAAGTTAAACGCTCAGACATAGTAGATAATGATGATCGTCTGCTGCAACTGTTCTCAGACAATCGTTTATTTTTAGCAAACTAATTTTAAACATAAGGGGAGACATCGTCTAACATGGCGATCCCCTGCACCAAACCAACGATGGACTCAAATAGACCATATTGCAATCAGTCATCGTTGGAGAGGCTCGACAGACGATTGTCGCTCGTTCTGGAATACCTGCTTGGACTCCGACCATGCTCTAATACGGCTACGCATTTGTTTGCGCCTCACTGGATGCAGAAAAACCACACTAAAAAGAGCCATTAGCATTGAATTGAGCAATGAGAAAGCCAAAAGTTTATTCCAGCAACAACTGAGCAGTTCTGAAAACGAGGCTGGCCCAGATGTTGCTTGGAAAGATATACAAACAGCTGTGGTAACAGTAGTGACATCTATTTGTGATTTAAACCAAAGGGTTACAAAAAATCAATGGATTTCTTTAAGCTCTCTTGCATTGATGGATTTTCGTAAGCTCATCCCATTGGGCTCTGAACACGATGATGAGCGAAAGCAAATCAGATCTAGGTTAAGCAAAAGTTCAAGGAACGACCGTGAGCAGTCGTGGACAACGAAAGCAGAAGAGATGGAAAAGGCGGCGGCTGTATGTAACACCAGACAGCTTTAGAGACTAATAAAAGAAACTGGAATTAGGGAGTCAAATGTGAGACAATTTCGGAAAACGACGACACTCATATCTGCTCTCAGCTCAAATGTTTAGAACGATGGGTGGGTAGTTCAGCTGGCCTTCAGCTAACTTACAACCACTGACCAATCCCAAACAGTCTGAATGGAACATTGAAGTAGACTCTATATGAAGTTCAGAAAGCTATAGCTAATCTGAGACGAGGAAGAGCAGCTGGTCCAGATGGACTAACTCCAGATGTCTTTAAGTATGATGGTTCAGTTTTAGCGGTTAGGTTGATTACTATTTTATATAAAATCTAAGGATTAGACGCAATCCTCTCTGACTGGTCGCAATTACTTATCGTCCCAATATATAAGAAAGGGTCGAAATCATTGTGATAACCATAAAGGGATCAGTTTGGCAAATATAGTATCTAAAATACTAGACTCGATAATAATCGGACGCCTAACTAAGACTCGTGAACTGCAAACACGAGAAAATCAGGCTGACTTCAGACCTGGTCGTGGCTGCATCGACCACATATTCACCATTCGTCAGATCTTAGGACATAGGCATGCTTATCGGCGTCCGATAATGATAAATTTTCTTGACTTGGAAGCAACATTTGACTCTGTATACCGAGAGTTTCTGTGGCAGTGTCTGTCATTGAAAGGAGTACCTCAGAAGTAGATAAACCTTGTGAAGGCTCTTTACTCGATCACTACTAACCGAGTCAGAGCTTACGGCGAACTGTCATCTGATTTCGCAACCTCAAGTGGTGTCCATCAAGTCTATCCACTTTCTCCGTTTTTGTTTAACTTCATCATAGACCTACTGATGGAAATAACGCTCTGATCTAATGGGTTTTCGGGCATTGATCCCCTTCCAGCAGGTCCACTTATTGACTTAGAATACGCAGATGATATATTCCTGTTTGGTGAAGACAATGATAAAATGCACTCTTCTGGTAGCACCTAACAACAATGCCAGAATGTTTGGGGTGCGTTTCTCCCCCTCTAAATGCAAGTCGTTGCTTCAGGATTAGCCTGCGTCAACACCTGAACTAAGGATGGGGAGTGGAGTAGTCGAAAGGGTCGACAACTTCACTCAACTTGGAAGTCTGATCAGCCCTAATGGGTTAGTGTCTTATGAAATCTCCGCACGGGTTCAGAAAGCTCGTTTGGCTTTTGCCAACTTACTTCACCTATGGAGAAGGCGAGATATCCTTATATCAATAAAAGGACGAGTATACTGCGCAGCTGTTCTCTCTGTTCTACTTTACGGCTGCGAAATGTGGCCATTAAGAGTAGGAGACACTCGTAAGCTACTAGTATTTGACCACAGATGCCTTAGAAATATTGCTCGCATCTGCTGGGATCACCGGGTAAGTATTAGGGAATGATGGTAAATCAGTTGATGAGGTTATGAATCTTCATCGACTGAGATAGTTGGGCCACGTGTTTAGTATGCCTGAACACCGATTAGCATGACACGTAATACTGACTAGTATGGGGGATGATTGCAAGAAGGTTAAGGCCGGTTAAACCAAAATGTGGTATCAGTGCTTGAAGTCATTAACTTCTAGTATGAGCTATGTTGGTAGATGCAAACTACTTGGTTGGGGTCCGCGCGACTATCGTAACTAATGGTTGGAGACTCTGGGTGACATGGCTCAGAATCGATCACAACGGCGTAGGTGTATACACTCTTTGTCTGCTCTTAAACCGTGAGACTAAAGCTGCTTTATACCTTTACTTCTACGAAATAATTCCTTCTTCATGTATTATATCCTTATACGTAATCTTTCTTTTATATATTACTACCATTGAAGTAACTATTTCTATGAATTTGGTGTTCACCTTGTTGTGCTAATAAGGTGTGGCAGCTTGGACCGATGCATATGTGTAAGTGATTCTACGTTACAGTTGACTGACTGACTCATGATGCTAGATCACTTACCCCAGCCGAGCGGATCTACAGTCAAATTGAAAAGGGAGCCCTTACTATCATTTTCGCTGTTAAAAGATCCCATAAAATGCACTACTGACAGATCACATACCTTAAACTGCAATTTTCGGTTCTAATAAATGAAGCCCTATATGTACAGTTAGCAGACTACAACATTAGGCAACGATATTTCTGAGCTAGGACTTCAACATTAAGTATCAGTCAGCAAACACTATAGGTCAGGCCGATGCTCTCACTCAATTGGTTGAGGTTCAACACCCTGGACTGGAGGACATGATCATTGAATCAGTAGCAATAGATCCAGAAATAAGGTGTGTAGTAGCAGATGGCATTCGAAACACTCCAGTGTCATCAGATGAAGTCAGAGAAGCAACTCTTCGAGACCCAGTCTTACAAGAAGTTAAAACGTTCCACCTAGAGGGGGGCCCTTGAAGGTGAGTTCCACAGAGCTTCAGCAGTTTTACCAACCCAGACTACTTCAATCATCGATGACTGCCTTCTGTTTGCCGAACGTGTCGTAATCCCAAAGAGGCTGAAACCGATAGTGCATGGACAATCGCATGCAGAACATCCTGAGATAAATCGCATGAAAGCACTAGCACGAAGTTATGTATACTGGCAGAATTTAGACACCCAACTGGAGCATCTATCCCGTTAATGTACCAAATGTGCATTAGCAAAACCACAGTTACCGTGGCAACGCATACACTTGGACTTAGCTGGTCTACTTCATGGACAAACTTATCTTTTGGTAGTTGATGCATACAACAAGTGGTCAGAGATTTTTCTTAGGAAACATCCAACTGTAAGCTGCACAGTCAGAAAACCACGTCAACTATTTAGTCACTTCGGGGTTCCATAACTAATAGCTAGCGACAGTGGAACCCAATTTACATCCGCTCTCTTCCCAGAATGCTGTAGGCAGAACGGAATCAATAATGTCCGAACAACTCCATTCCATCCGCAATCCAGTGGCCAAGTAGAACGCTTTGTTGGTACATTTAAAACGATGTACAAAAATCAAAGTGGGAGTGGACCACTGAAGAGATTCGACAAAGGTTCCTGTCAATCTGTTGTTCTACAACAAATCCTCAGACAATTAACGAGGTCTCTCCAGCAGAAGCTTTATTTGGCAGAAAAACACGAACATGTTTTGGTGTCATTCGCCCGACACAAGCTCTTGAGCCTCAACGCAATTCAATAGATATTACATGGTACAAAGACGTTTGCTAACTGTGGGTCAAAACGTACTTGCTATGGACTATTGTGGTAAACATCTCACATGGACAAATGGTCGAATCGTTCAAAACAAAGGAAGTGTAGTTTACGAGGTGTCAGTTAGCTCAGAAGTTTTTGTGAGTCATGCTAACCAACTAAAAGCAACTTCGATCGCCAGCAACGAGACCCAACGTAGGATACCTCATGATGTTCTGATGGACACCTTTGAAATCAAAACCGCTGAAATGGACAGGTCGGTCTCCGTGCAAGCAGTGACATCACTTCTTTATCGCCTAGAAGATGGACATATAGAAAACACAGACCAGTCACGCGGTTGCAGGTGGATCTTAACACAAGATCCTATGAATCTATTCAAAGGGGAGGAGTTAGCAGGACATAGATTAGATCAAAACATGTCCCGTGGAGGATTGTGTTGAAACACACTGATTATCCATTTCTTAGCCAATCAGCGTTTGCGAATACTTGGGGACGACTCTGGAATATTCTTGTGTAAAGATCATAAATATATTAAAGTTTTTCTTATTGCGTTTCCTACTTCCCTAAAACCTTGTTTATTTGGAATATTATTATGTTCTTGTTCAACCATGTTCTGATTTAGGGACTTGTCGAGTGAAGTAGTATCCAAAGAATACTAAGTAATAAAAGTAGCTGGGTTGAAATAAGAGAGATTATCATAACACTCAGAAACTATGTAACCAGACAATTCGATTGGTAAATAAAAGACTATAATGCTTAAACATTGAAATTATTTGCTGTCCTGAGTACACCACAGCAGCCAGTAAATCAACTATTTTAGCAAAAACTAATCAACAGTCAATCACAAAAAAATCCCTGCAATCCAACAATTGTGATAGACAATCTGAACCCACAGAGGTAATTTGCTTATCTATCATTATAGAATATATGATGCTAGTTAGCCATTGGCTTTTTAAAGTAACAACCCACATCAGCTCACTATTGATCATCAAGTCAAACATTAATGCTCACTCGCAAATGTGTAGTATCTATGTTATGTAGAAAGCAAACAAGATAATACGAATATAGCGAGTGAAAAAATTACACAAGTCATAATACTATACTGAAATACGAAATAAGACTTTTCAAAAGTGTTAAAACAACATACCTTCTTTATTACCAACTCAGCTGACTGATCGATGGCACTAGCTAATTCTGGAGCTCGACCAGTGTAACTTAAAAACAACCACGTGAACAATGAGATTAAAGCAATATAAAATGGTAGGGCCAATATACCCGAAACCATTGATAAACCAATAAATTCTGATATTCCTGTAACAATATGGAAAATTAGTAGAACAACAGCCAAAACAGCAGGAGTACGAAATGTCTGAAAATGGGATAGAAAAAGGTGAATAATTGTGCGAAGGTAAAGCCGTTGGACATACAGACAGTAGTTACGAACTATAAGCTTAACAGCAGGTACCCTACCTTATGTCTGAGACGGTAAAACCTAAAGGAACGAGTGTTCCAGCCAATATAACTGGATGGGGTTATCATGATGCTCAATCTACACCACAATATAGAGGTAGCGACTAAGGTAGGAGTTTACAGTATGCAACGTTTCAGCCTTAAATTAATTGACATGCATTGCAGCATATTATTCTCCAAACTTTGTAGGCCAGTCACTTACAAACGGTAATTTAGCGCAAATAAAACAACGGACTACCATCACTTAGAATCAATTATTATGTATTTTCGTTGATCTAGTGTGGAGACTTGGACTGACAACTATTTGTCCCACGTCATGTTGTTGACTGGCAGACTAAAGAATCAAGACAGCAGTTAAAATGGGTAAGCGCTCTTCCACCATGTACTAATGAGTTTCAATCAGAAAACCCAGTAAACCCATTGTCGATTAATAACTTTATTCCTTTCTTAATTTTTGACTTTCATGTATTGGCTAATTTTTTGGACTAATGTACTATTCTGTGATTTACATAAATATGGTGAACTAGACTATAACATCAGGACAGACAGAAAATATGTGAATTATTTAATGAATCAGATTAGCAATTAACGAGTGAGCTTAATGCCAATTAATCACGATTTCACTTATTTACAATTTTTTGATATTTTATCTAATAGTAGATTTAAAAGAATTATTCTGAAAGATAAAATGGAATTCCGGATTTAACCACTGAATATGACTCAGTGGCCAAGGAAAGACCTGTGCCCTTAGCTTCAAAATTGGAACGAGGTTAGAACATTAACCAGTCGCATAAATAGAAGTAAATGAGGCAAAATTTGAACCTAGAACTAAGTGATCCAAAGCCAAGTTGCCTGACTAGCAAGCCCACCACCTTATTTAGGCATTTATTCTATATCCACAAAGTTTAAAAAGTCAAACGAAAAAAGGTTTTGAACCTATTAAAATCTATGTCAACCGACTACTGAAAATACTTTGAAAATCAGGTATACACAAACCTACCTGGAATATATCCTTTTTAGAATTTGACATCCGATAATCTTCTCCCAGTTGTTTTAATGTTTCTTTTAAGCGTTCCAAATAACCTGCAGAAAATGCCTCACCACCCATTTTAGGAATTGTGTTAAATTTTTCAATAGCAGCCTTATATATTTTTAAATGAGCTAAATCTAAATCAGTTGGATTGATGTACGGCCGATCGGGTCCACAAATCTACGATATAGGAAAAGGAATAAATTGTAGTATACTGAATGGAACCTTAAGTAGATAATATGTATCTGTATTTCGATGTTCTATAACATCATTGGACATTTGTTTTCTGAGAATAGAGAATACCTAAATTTAGGCATTTTACTATAATCTAACGCAATTGCTCTACTACACTCTAGTATACCATTAAGCTGTTTGCATAAGAATACGTCACGGAACGAAAAAAACATTGTTTCTCCTGACAAGTAGCGGAAACCACTCACTACAATGTATAAATCCAGAACTCAAACAAGTCCCTTCTCAAGTCACTAGGTGATCTATTTAATGATGGAACAATTCAAATCCAGTTATAATGAATAATATAACACAGGAAATATCTTACAAAAATAATTTACAGCTGACCTGGCATATATAAAATAGCCCGAGTGACAAATCACAACTATACCACACTGATGATTAGGACAAAACATTCTTTACCTTGTTCATAGCCTCTGAATACATCTCTTGACATGTTAATATTGCATTAAGGTTGTTTGCCTCGGCAGTTGCTTCCAACATAGAACGTGGTTCTGGGAGAGTATCACTTTCATAAATTTTTATATATGCTTTGAAATAAGTAAAAAGTTCACGACACGTAACTTCCTGACCATTTATCCTTTTAACAACCAGATTAACTGGAGCTAACAAATGAGGAACTAATGCTATAAGGTTTTCAACGAAACTAGGATCAATATCCTTTACTCGTCCATCAAAGTTTGGATTTGTTGAAACTTTAAGACCGGGATGAGGCATTAGGAAACAATCCAACTTGGAAAAACAAGAGCGAATATGACGGCGGACAGCTTGGTGCTCTGTGTGATGCTGTTGAACAATCTAGAAGAAAACAAAATGGTCATGAAGCAAACACAAATTACAAGAAAGGTAGTTGCACATTGACAGGAAGTCAGTTATGGAAACATACAGTAAGACCTGTACCTTGCACGAATAGCTCATTTGTTGAGATTTATGAACTACCCATAATTCTATGTATCTCGTAGGTTTCAACTCATTAACAGAATGAACGATCACTTTCGTAGAAAAAAAAGATTTCTGTAGTTTCGATTTGCAGTCTAAACTATCAGAGCGAAATAAATCTAATCGAAACAATATTTTTAGTTTAAATATAATAAAGATTATAAATATTCTTCAATACCTGAGTGAATACCAAAATACAAAAAATCCTATTTTAGGGTATCGGGTATAAACCTAACCAGTCGGAGATTTTACTAGGCTAGGGACTGATTTTAGTAACGTTTCGCGACTGGCTGAGGTTGGGAAGCTTATATTGGACCAGTATCAGCATTAAAACTTTAAAAAATCCAGTATGCCCTACATTTCAACAAAATTGGAATATTCAGTCGTTGAAACAACATGAGGTAAATACGGCCCATGAAATGTTCACACATATGAGAACCACATATTAAGTATGACTTTGCTTTTCCTACTGTGGTATGAACAGACGAGTCTGAACCCAAAATCTCGTGTCGAGACAATATAGTTGTTTTTATTATGGAGTGATTAAATGTGATGCCCACTGATTATAGAATCGAATTACAATTTATTGATAAATATTAGGGGATAATAAGATAGTTAATATATATATAACTAGGAATTACTGATAGTATTATGTATTCATTTGTGAATAGGTTCCTGATGAAACAAGAGATCAAATATCATGCAATAAATAGGTTGTCAGACTAGTATGTGGCGTAAATAACAAGTTTCACATTCACTTTTGATCCTATCACCTGTCCGTAGGTATAAATAGTGCAGAATATTTGGTATTGTTAAGTTTAAAAAACAACACGTAATCTTGGAGTCATAAACAGAATTCGTTGAAAGTTATGGAGTTTAACAGATTAATAGTTAGCGCTTTTTATAACCGATAGGACCAAGTTTAGTTTTGACTAACTAGTTGTAAACACTTAGGCCTCCGTTAATGTGTGATTTTCGTCATGTCACTAGCAAATATGTAAATACATTCTGAATGAATTAAAGTATTACAAAAATTTAGAAGTTCTCTTCAAAGCATGTTGCCAGAAACAGACCGGATACGGTTCGAACTGACTATTATAGAGATACAATTTGTGTAGTGAGAGTTCAGAACACAATCTAGGATGAAATGAATGAATTTACTGATTCCCCGTGACATTGTCACTGTATAAACAGTGTATGTTATTAAAATGTTCCTGTGGTTAACTCAGCCTTGTTACGTGGGCTTTAACTAAATCGGTATATAAATATTTGTTAAGTTTCGGAAGCATTTCTCTTATATTAATCAAACACAATTAGTAAGCAGGTAGGGTGAAACTAAGAACACGTAGCTAACTTTGAATTATATGGCTTACTGCCGAACAGCACATCCAAACGTACCATAATTGTCTAACATTAACTTGAAGAAGCAACCTACTTATTGAGTAAAACCCATTGACATCTGATAAATAGTGAGATCTGGTTTACTGGTGATACTTGAAGTATCCTTGTAATACTTTACCAATGAAATCAGACTGAACAGGAAAACCAAGTGAATATGAGACTCCATACATCATAACAAAACGAAATTTCCAAGATTTTTGTAGCAATAATATATGTTGTGAATTACCTTGAGGCGATTATCAAGCAGTTGAGTACCACCACTGTTCCCGAAGTCATACTCGTACGGGAAACTCCAATCGCGAACAAGGAATAAAAGATGCTAGGTATAAAAAAAGTACAAGGACATAGACAATAGAGCGGAATGATGTGATAAAAAAACCTTTATAACACATGTAAGAAGATCACCGTCTAAAAATGATGAAGTAGAATCAATTCAGTTCTCTTATACTCTAGGAACGAGTAGTGATTTACAACGGAGGTAACCGGTCAACTAGATACCCCGAAACGCTCTGGTATGATCGAGAGTGGGGAGGGTCAGCTCTCCCTCTAGGAGTGCTCTCATATGGCCATGCGTTCTACTCACTGCCCTGTTGCGGTGTGGTGACCTTTACGAAATTAAGAGGACAAAAAGCGAATATTCAACGCTTCAACCGGGTTGGTGGATATAGAGGATCCACCTAAGGGAGTTGGAAAACCCTGATTCCAAACCAATAGTGCACATGGGCTACAGAAAACGGAATAAACACATGGTATGTGAGCCTATTGTTGGTTACCGGCTATCATGGGACTGCATCTCCCTACGTTGCTCCATTGCCTTGTGGATTAGACATCTAGGTCAAAAGCTCGGGGAGTGGCAGTCTAAGAAAACTACATGCTTTGGTTCGGGCACGCGAGCAGTATCTCAGCACTCACACAACGAATTTGTGTGGCGCATATATATTTGGTGCCTCCTTGTACAAATTTCTATGTAAATAAGTAAATAAATACTAGGCTAAAGGCAATGCTGTGTGGCAAAGTAATCAGAAAGAAAGGACCTCCCAAGATAGGAAAAATCCGAACTGGTGACCGCTGGTTGGCAACGAAACAGAAGGTACTAAAAGTGAGAATATGATCAGCTTGCTGTCATGAGCATAAAACATAACGCAGAGAAAGAAAGAAAGCGATGACAGTAAAACACCTATTCCTAATTAGCAGGGAGTTACATTATCTAGATATAATGACCAGTGGTTTTACAAACTTTCACGCTTTATCATTACTACCCCCTTATTATTTTTCCTCTTGGCCGTTTAAAACAATCAAATGACCACTTTTATTAGCCAGTTGATTGCGAGAATGTCTGACCTCATTGTTACACTACATGACCAGACTACCGATTACCTGTTTATAAAACCCATTTCACAAGAATGAGAATCACCGAACATGAGTGAATTCATTACAGAAACTATATAGGGTTGATTACAAGCCAGGTAACATCTAGACACTCAGTTGCAACTACATAGGAAATACGTGTTACACTGCGCTATTATTACTGCATGAATTAATCTTTTTCAAACCGCTTACCTGGAAAGGTGTTCCAGAAATATCAGATTCCAAAGCAAGTCGACCATATTCGGTGAATAAATGCAAATGCTGCAGGTGATCTTCTTGAATATTACCATGAATGTTATAAACTTGAGTACTACTGATCATTGTACTCAAGGCGAAAACTGTAGCACACTGACGCACAGTACTAGTGCTATCAAAGGAACCCTTAAAATAGAAAAGATTAGGGAGAATATCTACAAACCTGTGTATCCATTAACAGAACGACTACTTCCTCTCCAGATGGTAGAGTCATAAAGAATGGCTCGCTCCATAACAATATTCCAACAGTGTCTCTCTCTGAACCACCTCGCCAGGGAAAGCCCTTTAAAGGTATTTCCGGGTCTCCTAGCCATTTAGTACGGTCATTGGATAACAAATAACGTAAGAAAAAATCCAGTAAAAACGATTTTCCTTGACGAAACGCACCAGCGACAGACACCACAACAACTTTTTTGTCACGCACATCCGGTCTTAAAAGAATTGAAGACAAAGACTCTTCATCTAGACTGAATGATGTTCTCTTCATACATTCTTCAACATTTATAATTTGAACTGCACGTCCACCCGCTGCAACCATCCTTGACCCAAAAGTAACGTACAATTGGTGATTTCCGCCTAATACTACATATTCAGTCTTCAATACCAGCCTTGACCAAAACAAACCAGTCATAGAAATAAAAATCACAAAAATTGCAGACGTAAGTGAAATCTAGATGTATGAATGAACAACTTAAGGTTCTTTTCACCTTTTTAGTCAGTCATAAAAATGAAGGATCTTTTCTCTATAAACCAGTGGCAATTACTCTGATCTAAAATATGAGACTTGAAATGCTTAAAAAAATCCATCATTAGTTGCTTCATACGGGTCGTAGTTTTGCCGTGACATAGACCTTCTTGAAGTTTGTTTCACAAGCTCGGAAGGACAGCGCAAACATTTAATATCCGATCGGTTAGGTTCTCGAAGTAGATAGAATATTTTCTCTAGTTAGCAGACTGCGAAATAATATGATAAATTAAGAACTGATTGATGTCAAAAGCTGAGATACATCATCTACAGACCTACAGAAGAGGACGAGTTGTAACCTAATACTTCTGATCCAAAACGGTTTTAACTTAAGTTGGAGAAATCTTGGGTGGTAATAATTATCGTCAGAACACTCCTGAGGATGCCACAGGTGTTTGGAGTTTGACAACGCTTTAACCGGTATCGCTTAATATTAGGCGTACTCAACAGGTGAAATAAAAATACAGAATTGAGGAGGTTTAAGGATATATTTGATAGGCTATCAAAATATCAAGGATCGACTGATCTAGACTGGCTAGTGATTGCAGGCGATGTTGAGCACGGCATTCCCAGTCGTGATCTGGTACGGATGCATGGCCAAGCGCCATCAGCTAGGTGAGTCCATTAAAATCAACGTGATCAGTATCCAATGTCGAGGACTTATGAGGCTATTTATTTTGGTGATTTATTTACCGCTATGGATCACTCCCCCTCTAGTGAGGTAGTGATGACCCAAAGACGTGGCCAACCAGAAGTTTAAACTCAACGATTTTGTCGTTGGTAAACACTCTTCTGATAGCTTGCTAGGTTTAGCATCGTCTGGTTGTCTTTCCCTACTATAATGGATCATGTGGTACAACAAAGTAGTAAAGAAACAAGGTACAATAAAATTTTCGGGTCATTGTAAACTTCATCATTCTTTTTATTGTCATTTACAGCATCCTGGAAACGAAAAAAAGAATATATGAGTGCATGTCAAAATACACATGTACGCATGTGAAAACACAAAGCGGGCAAAAAAATGTGAAACTTATGCACATGCGAAAACGAAAAAAAACCCATTTTTACAGAAATTTTAAAATTTTTAATATACTCATGGTAAAAACTTTTGTTTTTTTCCATGAATATATAAAATAAGCATATTAGAATTGGTTTTTTATATTATATATGATACAATGAAAAATCGATCCGAAACAAAATGGTGTGCGATAAACTTGTGATTGTTCTGGAAACCTCACTGTTCTTCCAGAACGCGTTGTTTTAGGTTTATTTTCTGATACTTCCGAAGTATCGTCGTGTGTGTTGGATTTCGGCTGACTTATTATATGTGTGAGAGTCGTGTCTTCCGGTTGTATTGAGGGAAAACTGACATGGATAGGGTTTCATTCTAGATACGCTGCTTTGAGGTTATCGGTGCTGATGCTATCGTTGGTTCTGTTCTTATCGACCTTTAGTACTTAGGTTTACGTTGAGGAACTTTGAAGGGTCCTTCGTATGCTGATTCGAGAGGTCATCGATATGAGTCTCGAAGAACGAAGACTTGTGAACTATATCGTAAGTCTGGTTGAACGTAAACATCAGCTGATTGCGGTCGAGTAGAAACCTGTTTGCTTGTGGGTGATGGGCAGTCGTTCAGAAGCGCGTGGTTCCTAATAATCTGGTCAGACAACGGAAAAGTCTAGATTCGAAATGGCATCCACGATCTGTAATGATGGTTGAAGGACGGCCGAAGTTTTCTACCCATTGTTCGACGATGGCACATGCCACTGTTTCAGCAGTGATGTCCTTAGTAGGCACTGCTCCTGGTCATCAAGTGAAACGGTTAGGAGATAAGAGTATACATTTGAATCCGGTAAAGGTCCTACCAAATTCAAATGAACATGATCAAAACGAGCATCAGGAATTTAAAATGAACCTAAGGAACATTTGTTGTATCTGATAACTTTAGATTTCCGGCAGCTTACAAAGCGTGCCCACTCCCTCACGTCTTTATTCATGCCAGGCCAGCAAAACCGTTCTGCTGTAAGCCTGATGGTTGCACGAACACCTGGATGAGAAAGTTTGTGCAACGTATTGAAGACGTTGCGTCGATAATGTTTCGGGACGATTGGGCGATCCCTACCTGTAGATGTGTCACAAAGTAAGGTTTTTTTTACCTGTTCCCATCTGTTTGATGAGTAGTTTAAGGGTTGTGGAAATTTTAAAATTTTTAATATACTCATGGTAAAAACTTTTGTTTTTTTCCATGAATATATAAAATAAGCATATTAGAATTGGTTTTTTATATTATATATGATACAATGAAAAATCGATCCGAAACAAAATGGTGTGCGATAAACTTGTGATTGTTCTGGAAACCTCACTGTTCTTCCAGAACGCGTTGTTTTAGGTTTATTTTCTGATACTTCCGAAGTATCGTCGTGTGTGTTGGATTTCGGCTGACTTATTATATGTGTGAGAGTCGTGTCTTCCGGTTGTATTGAGGGAAAACTGACATGGATAGGGTTTCATTCTAGATACGCTGCTTTGAGGTTATCGGTGCTGATGCTATCGTTGGTTCTGTTCTTATCGACCTTTAGTACTTAGGTTTACGTTGAGGAACTTTGAAGGGTCCTTCGTATGCTGATTCGAGAGGTCATCGATATGAGTCTCGAAGAACGAAGACTTGTGAACTATATCGTAAGTCTGGTTGAACGTAAACATCAGCTGATTGCGGTCGAGTAGAAACCTGTTTGCTTGTGGGTGATGGGCAGTCGTTCAGAAGCGCGTGGTTCCTAATAATCTGGTCAGACAACGGAAAAGTCTAGATTCGAAATGGCATCCACGATCTGTAATGATGGTTGAAGGACGGCCGAAGTTTTCTACCCATTGTTCGACGATGGCACATGCCACTGTTTCAGCAGTGATGTCCTTAGTAGGCACTGCTCCTGGTCATCAAGTGAAACGGTTAGGAGATAAGAGTATACATTTGAATCCGGTAAAGGTCCTACCAAATTCAAATGAACATGATCAAAACGAGCATCAGGAATTTAAAATGAACCTAAGGAACATTTGTTGTATCTGATAACTTTAGATTTCCGGCAGCTTACAAAGCGTGCCCACTCCCTCACGTCTTTATTCATGCCAGGCCAGCAAAACCGTTCTGCTGTAAGCCTGATGGTTGCACGAACACCTGGATGAGAAAGTTTGTGCAACGTATTGAAGACGTTGCGTCGATAATGTTTCGGGACGATTGGGCGATCCCTACCTGTAGATGTGTCACAAAGTAAGGTTTTTTTTACCTGTTCCCATCTGTTTGATGAGTAGTTTAAGGGTTGTGGAAATTTTAAAATTTTTAATATACTCATGGTAAAAACGTTTGTTTTTTTCCATGAATATATAAAATAAGCATATTAGAATTGGTTTTTTATATTATATATGATACAATGAAAAATCGATCCGAAACAAAATGGTGTGCGATAAACTTGTGATTGTTCTGGAAACCTCACTGTTCTTCCAGAACGCGTTGTTTTAGGTTTATTTTCTGATACTTCCGAAGTATCGTCGTGTGTGTTGGATTTCGGCTGACTTATTATATGTGTGAGAGTCGTGTCTTCCGGTTGTATTGAGGGAAAACTGACATGGATAGGGTTTCATTCTAGATACGCTGCTTTGAGGTTATCGGTGCTGATGCTATCGTTGGTTCTGTTCTTATCGACCTTTAGTACTTAGGTTTACGTTGAGGAACTTTGAAGGGTCCTTCGTATGCTGATTCGAGAGGTCATCGATATGAGTCTCGAAGAACGAAGACTTGTGAACTATATCGTAAGTCTGGTTGAACGTAAACATCAGCTGATTGCGGTCGAGTAGAAACCTGTTTGCTTGTGGGTGATGGGCAGTCGTTCAGAAGCGCGTGGTTCCTAATAATCTGGTCAGACAACGGAAAAGTCTAGATTCGAAATGGCATCCACGATCTGTAATGATGGTTGAAGGACGGCCGAAGTTTTCTACCCATTGTTCGACGATGGCACATGCCACTGTTTCAGCAGTGATGTCCTTAGTAGGCACTGCTCCTGGTCATCAAGTGAAACGGTTAGGAGATAAGAGTATACATTTGAATCCGGTAAAGGTCCTACCAAATTCAAATGAACATGATCAAAACGAGCATCAGGAATTTAAAATGAACCTAAGGAACATTTGTTGTATCTGATAACTTTAGATTTCCGGCAGCTTACAAAGCGTGCCCACTCCCTCACGTCTTTATTCATGCCAGGCCAGCAAAACCGTTCTGCTGTAAGCCTGATGGTTGCACGAACACCTGGATGAGAAAGTTTGTGCAACGTATTGAAGACGTTGCGTCGATAATGTTTCGGGACGATTGGGCGATCCCTACCTGTAGATGTGTCACAAAGTAAGGTTTTTTTTACCTGTTCCCATCTGTTTGATGAGTAGTTTAAGGGTTGTGGAAATTTTAAAATTTTTAATATACTCATGGTAAAAACTTTTGTTTTTTTCCATGAATATATAAAATAAGCATATTAGAATTGGTTTTTTATATTATATATGATACAATGAAAAATCGATCCGAAACAAAATGGTGTGCGATAAACTTGTGATTGTTCTGGAAACCTCACTGTTCTTCCAGAACGCGTTGTTTTAGGTTTATTTTCTGATACTTCCGAAGTATCGTCGTGTGTGTTGGATTTCGGCTGACTTATTATATGTGTGAGAGTCGTGTCTTCCGGTTGTATTGAGGGAAAACTGACATGGATAGGGTTTCATTCTAGATACGCTGCTTTGAGGTTATCGGTGCTGATGCTATCGTTGGTTCTGTTCTTATCGACCTTTAGT